GCAATCCAAACAAATCGGCCAAGTCACTTGTAGCCATAAAAAATCCTCCCACAACCCCCCCAACCAGCAACCTTGCTGATACCCTACTTTTGCGTAGTTGCTAAAATGGGGTAACGGGAAAACCAGTCCTACGCTGACATTTCAGAAAATGCCCCCCTCCCCCCCTCTCTCCCCCCCCCACCTGAGCTCTCCACTACTCTTTTTTCCCCTGAGGGACCTGATTTGTCAATGCTGAGAAATTGGAAATCCTGAAATTCTCAGGGTGCACAGAACGCGATCAGGGTTGCCTTCAACAACAGCCGTAGGCATACCCAAATTACCACATCTTCTCCAGCAGTGACATTTTCATTGTTGGGAGGACGGGGAGCAGTAGGCAGAGTCTTCGCCAGCTGTAGGAAGTAGTATCTAGCTGGCATGATTTTTTTCTTTTTTTTTTTCTGATTTCCTTGACGATGTGAAATTACTAGCTCTAAAAATCACACTCCCCACGGCTCAATTGAGGGGGAGGAAATCTAAATGGAGGGGAGGGGGAATCAAAACCAAGGAGGAAAAGGGGGGGGGAATCAAAACCGAGATGAGAGGGGAGCGAAACGGAAGGGAAGGGGGCAAATCGAAACGGAGGGGAGGGGGGAAGAGAAACGGAGTGGGAGGGGGAGGGCGAGAATGGGGGGGGAGAGTGGGAATCGAAATGGATGGAGGGGGGAAGACGGAAGGGGAGGGGGGGAGCGAAAATGGAGGGGGAAGGGGGAATCGAGATGGATGGGAGGGGGGAAGCTGGGGTATAGGGCGGTCGGAGAAATTTCGCGCCCTAGCAGCGCCCCGGCTGGGAGATCTTGGACGTTAATCACTATTTACCATCAAACGGTTTAAATATGTCGAAACGATCACATTCGATCGTGACTGTCACATTTTGATAGACTTTCAGTTGACCAAACGGGCACCTCGCAAGAATTTCCCTATGTAAATCTAGAGCTCAGTCCGACCATAGTGTCGTACGGGGGCACCCGAGGTGGAAAACAATTGCATCGCGTCTTCCCAAACCTGACGGATGTTTAACTGGAAACTCACGCTTAGCTGGCAAATTTAGCGGCATACGAGTGGCACAAAAATAGCTCCCAAACAGTTATATTTTTTGCCCGCCAATCTACGACTCCCGTCACCATACAGTCACAACTCATTTTCGTTTTCACTTTCATTTTTGCACGACCGTCAGAATCACAACCCCACGGCTCCTTCGGCGTCGGGTTGGCCTCATGTCAAATTCGAAATTACTCTCTTTGCCGAATCAGCGTTTCTTCCGTACACGACACTAATGGAAAATCGAATTTTGGTTAGGCAACCCTGATGAATCAACGTAAATTTTCTTGAGGCTGATGGAATTTTTTTTTTTAGGAACATGACACTAAGCAATCAGGGTACCCTAAAACCAATCGTGGGGCCTGGTCCACACCCTCATGCTGGCTGAAGCCTCTGGCCACATTCCGCTCCTTGAACTGCGGCGGCTCTCCAGGTGGGAGCTTCACCTTATAGACCCGCATGCCATCGACTATGTTTGCCCCGGATGGAGGAACTGCGTCGATGTATGTGTGAGTGGCTCTATAAGATGCCATCTCGATCTCCATCGTCTGTATCCATTTGCTGCCCATGGCCCCAAAAATGCCTCAGCGTACGAGCACGGGGTAGGGATGTCGTGAGCGTCCGGGCCACCCTCAGGGAACACTAGCATGGCGCAGAGACGGGGTACGGCAGCCGCAAGAAAAGCCAGCTCATGTTGCCTATCCTCTAGGACGTCACTGCCTAGGGCAGGTGCACCCCTGACGGACAAAGGACAGGCATGGATAGAGACCAGAGCGGAGGCGTAGTCAAGGCGGTGTTGTGCAGCAAAGTGGGCGACAATAGCAACGAGGGCAGAAGATGCCAGTAGGAGGAGCCATAGGGTCCGTAACAGGAGAGGCAAGGAAGCGGGAGACCTCTGGACGAGGAGTGCAAGTAGAGTCAGAGAGAGGAGCGGAGGAAAGGGGTAGGGACAACGAAGGAGGTAATGGCAGGTGAAGGACTAGAGGAGCACGAGGATGAAGGACCATAGGGTGGACACGAGTGCAAGGAGAGTCTGGACAACCACTAGGGGGACGACGCACCCACGGGTGGCAAAGGTGGACGATACAGGGGACATAGGAGAACGAGGGGGGAAATGAGCTAGAGACGAGTCCAAGGGAGGGAACAGCGGGCTGTAAACGCAGGTAGGCGGGAGGGGAGGCGTTGTGGGAGGCAGGGGCTGGCGGTCAGAGGAACCAGAGGAAAGGCCGAAGACACGAAGTGTAGACTGCGGCTGGTGTTGCTGCTGCTGCCGCTACTGCTGCCGCTTCTGCTGCTGTAGCCACTGCTGCTACTGCTCCCCCTCCTCCTCTGTACCCACCCCTTCGCCAGCACCCCGGGCCCCACCACCGCCTGCTGCTGTCAATGCCCCACGTCCATGAGAGCACCGCGAACGACTTGAAGAGCGACCATGCGCAGTGACCGCCACAGGGGTCTCAGTGACAGAGCCGGAGGAAGCAGGGATAGAGACCTGGGGTGGAGAGCCGCCCTGAAAGATTGGGACCACCACCGTGCCAGTGGTCTGAGTGATGGCACGGAAGCGGGTTTCTAACTGAGTCAGGGAGGTGGAGAAGAGATCGATAGTGAGGTTAGCAGGGTGCAGCACGAGAAGGGCATCACACGCAGGAGGTAAAGTGTGATGGGGGTGTGGGGGAGGAGCGCGTTGAGCTGGGCCTCGGTGCAGCCGCACGGTAGCGGGCGTCGAGGGAGCAGAGGTGCAAAACGAGGTCCGCGACCGTAGGGAAGGAGGCCAGGTCCGGGAAGAGGAAATAGAGGAAGAGGCGACCAAGGGTGGCGAAGGACGGGGTCGAGTAGCAGGTGACGATCGCGTCGTAGAGGGCATGAGCAGTCTCCTCTAGCACAAAGTGAGAGTGTTCGTCGACCAGCAGGCACCAGGTGATGACAACCTGTGAGGCGGCGTCGTACTCTGCACGCTGTTACGACATTGCCTCGTCGCAAAGCAGGGCGGAAGGGGGCAGGCAGCTCACCAGTGATGTGGGCCGCGAGCAATGGCGTGGCAGGTGTAGTGCGTTGCGGCGCAGCGGGGCGCAAACGCGGGCATGGCACAGCGCGACGGGGCGCGGGCACGTACAGCGCGGCAGGTGTAGGCGGGCTGCGGCCAGAATGAAAGAAATGAGTGACTGGAACAGGAACAGAGCAGGGTTCAAGTATTGGGGTTGTCCCCAGTATAGTCTGCACCTAGCTAGCCCATAGAGCATATACCGTATTCCCCCTGATACGGTACCCGCCAGAATTAAGCTCCCATGGGTGGCTTGAGCAGGTATGGGTGTTTAATTAAACTAGATCTACAGTTACCACCCTACTTTTGAGCTTGAAAGCAATTGAACACCCCTCGCCACCTAGAATCCTAATTTTGACAGGGAACAACAGAATTTGCCGTGCATAGTTGCGTGCGTAAATGTGAGGACGAGTGGAGGAAACGAGCTGGTGGTCAACCCGAAACTATCCGAACGGAAAAACAAAATGTTGAAACCTCGAAATCCAAATTGTTCATTCTAGACTCTTGCGCCCTCCAGCAAAAACAAACCTCCGCTGCTGCCCACTGATTGGTGGCAGCAAGGACGAGGCCTGCAAAATTCGTTGATTGGCTGCTTTGCCAGCCTCGTCCTTGATTCTACTAGCTGACGATGTGGCAAGCGGAAGGGCCACACTATAGGGTACGCGATGAGGACACGAGATGTTGATATGTGACACAAAACAAAGTAGTGTACCATGGAATTGAAAAACGCATATGCAGATTCCATAGAACCATTGTCTTATAATGTTTTGGCCTTTAATTCCACCCACCCCAGATTTCCATGAATTTTTATTAGCTCCCTAGGGTACTATACACTAACTCATTGGGAAAATTTGGAGATTGTCTGGGATTTTGGGGGGTGGGGAGAATCTAGAGATTGCACGGGCAGGGGAATTCGAGATCGCATCGGCGAAGGGAATTGAGATTGCAGGGGGGGGGGGGGTTTCGGCATGGCAGGTGTGGGAAAGGGGCTTCATAGCATGCTTCCTTGAAACAAATCCGAATGTTCCCATTTTTAACCCATTTAAAGCAAGGGTCTCAAGAAGCAGAAAACCAAATCCAAAGGTTTTGTTTTTGGTCACAGGCAAAATGGGCGAAATGGGCGAGTTGATCCAAGAACACCGAAACAAACAGCGAAAAACAATCCGCCCCTGCGAGAATGTTCAGTACTTCGCTTGGACCTTGCGACGGTTGGAACGCCTCGCTGGCTACATAGATGGGACACAAGTTGGTGGGGCGTGTTCATAAAAAATCGTGGCACAAAAAAGTGCGACAAAAATTTGGTAAGACGATGGGTCATTGTGGATAAAACGACTCAGCAACATGGGGGAGGTTCAAAACCGCGTGACGTAACCGGGTGAATGAACACGCCTTTGTGACACGTTCAAGAAAACCAACGGTTTCAGCATTGGGCGTGACGACAGGAAACAAGGGCCTGTGCGACGAATTCACAAACTCCCAACTAACTCAGACTGCCGAATGCAAACCCTAGAGAGTGCACCAGCTCTCCTGAGAGCGCAACTACCTAGCAGGAACGAACGCGGTAACCCGGTCAATGACGATTGGGTTTCCAAAACCTTTGGATTTGGTTTTCTGCTTCCTGAGACCCTCGCTTTAACTATATGAGGACAGTTTCAGTGGGAATCGTGGGACAAATGCGACAAATGCACTGTTCAACATTGCATTAGAGCGTGTTCCTACAACCCTGATCATATGCACGAGGTACTGTACGGCGCAATTTCGACGCGAATCGTTTTAGTGCGTTTCGAAATGGTGGAACCCAGGCTGAAGAGAGGCTCACATGATAAAGGGCTGTAGGAACACACTCTTAGGATGTGGTGAAATGGGGACACTGGTGTGCACTGATGCGCACTTTTGAGTTCGGACGTATACTATGTCCTACAACAGACGTAAGTTCTTTGGACAGATTTGAAATTAACATCCTCATTGTTCAATTGGAAAAAACAAAAAACAAAATGGCACGTAACATATGTTAGATGTTGGTGTTACTTGTCATATGCAGTTTTGACACGTCTGATGCGGAGTTGTAAACACCACATATACAAAATATGGCTCTGGTGCGCACTGATGCGCACCGGTGCGCGCGTATTTCACCATGCCGTTAGACACAAAAGCTTCGGCGTGTGAAGTGGATGAAATGTGCCGTGTTTTTCTGTTGCGAGTACCCCATGGGCAGCCACGGTGTGAGTTGAGTCTGCTACCACCTTGCACCCGATAGCCAGACAACCTCCCACTCAACATCAGCACCTGCATCTCGTCATCCCCATCCCGTGCGCCACATGACAGGCCACACACCACAGTGCGGCCCCATAATCAATGCTGGTGCCACAAACGTCCCATACCATTGTTAGAAACAGAAAGGTTCAGTTTATTGATGAAGCAAAGGCATTACATAGGAAGAGAGAGATGAGCTAGGAAGGGAAGGTTGGAAGGGAAGGGGGGGTTAGGACCAATCACAAGGGAGGGAGGCTCCTTCCAAATGTGGTTGACCACCAGTTGGAGGTGGTCCAAGTGTGGTGTACCACCAGTGGTTTAGCCAACCCACTTGTGGTGCCCCCACAATTGTGGTCCTTGTGTTTGGGGGCTCCAACCACAATTGGGTTGGATTGACACCCCAACACAGGTGTACACCCAACTAGGGATGTAAACACAATATACACAACTAGCATAGCATGGTATATTCTAACACAACCCCATAGCATGCAAAGCTAGTGTATATGTAGGGTACAACCCCAGAATCAGGAAGGGGGGCGGGGCCCAAGGCCGAGAAGGCGGAGGAGGGCAGAGTGCGCAGTCTTCGGGAGGGCCTTGGTGAAGATGTCGGCCAAGTTGGCCTCTGCAGCGATCTTGCGGACCACCAAGTGACCTTGCTGGACCAACTCTCGAACGAAGAAGTAGCGGAGTTCAATGTGCTTGGAGCGGCCATGGAAGACAGGGTCCTTTGTGAGATGGATGGTGCTGGCGTTGTCGCACCAGAGGGTGGGACAGCGCTGAGGAGCACCGATCTCAGCAAGGAGGAAGGTGAGCCAGCGAGCCTCCTGAGCGGCCATGGTGCAAGCATAGAGCTCAGCCTCGCAGGATGAGAGGGCGATGGAGGAGGAGCGAGTGGAGCGCCAGCTGATGAGGCCGCTGCCAAGGGTGAAGCCGTAGCCTTGAGAGGAACGGCGATCCGGCTGGGAGTCAGCCCAGGAGGAGTCACTGAAGCCAGAGAGGAGGGGAGGAGAAGAGCCTCCGAGGGTGAGGACATAGTCCTTGGTACCACGGAGGTAGCGGAGGACCCGCTTCGCTGCAGCCCAGTGCTCATCAGTGTGGCGACCGGTACCGACGAATCGAGCAAGAACACTGATGGGGTAGGCAAGGTCGGGGCGGGTGCACATCATAGCGTACATCAGCGAGCCGACGAGCTCAGCGTAAGGATGGTCAGAGGAGGAGGGAGCAGGAGGAGGGGCAAGCTGGTGGTTGGTCTGCAGGGGAGTGGTAACCGGCTTGGCCTGCGCCATGTCGAACCGCTGCAAGACTTGGTCGATGTAGAAGGACTGAGAGAGGGTAATGGTGCGCGATGTGCGGTCCCGGGTGATGGTCATGCCCAGATAGTGCTTGAGCTCACCCAGGTCCTTGCACTTGAGGCGCGCATGCAGGGCGTCCTTCACTTGCTGCATGGCGGCAGCATCATCAGCGAACAGGATCATGTCGTCGACATACACCAGGATGAAGAAGCGGTGGGAGAGGAGCGAAGGAAAAGGCTGGCATCAGACTGAGAGGCATGGAACCCCAAGGACTGCAGAGTGGCGGCCAGCTTGTTGTGCCACTCGCGAGGAGCCTGCTTGAGGCCATAAACCGGGCGGCGCAGCTCCCAGACTGTGTTGGCAGGGAAGGCTGCATGAAAGCCTGGAGGCCGCCGCAAGAGGACCCGCTCCTGGAGCTCGCCTTGCAGGAAGGCGTTGGAGACATCCATGGAGGCAATCTCCATGCCAATGCGAACAGCATAATCGAGGATGGCACGGAGAGTTGGGAGCTTGGCAGTGGGAGAGAATGTCTCCCAGTAGTCGATGCCATGGGTCTGGGTGAAGCCCTTGGCACAATACCGGGCCTTGTAGACCGGCTCCTCACCCGGCAGCTGCTTCACTCGGAACACCCACAGGCCTTCAACAATGACGTCGTCAGGAGAGGGGACAATGTTAACGAATGAGGCATTGCGGATGAAGGCCTCGCATTCAGCAAAGATAGCCTGGATCCACTTGGCAGCATCGGGGCAGGTGATGGCCTCAAGGAAGTTGGACGGAGTGAATCTGGTGGGAGCGGTAGCGATGCCAAGGATGAGGAGGCCAAGGAAGCCCGGGTAGAGAGGCGTGAGGGAAGGTGTTTGTTGCTGAACGCCAATGAGCTCCTCGTGGGAGTCCTCAATGAAGGGAAGGGAGGGTGGGGGTGGTGTTGGCCAACCCCATGGATGGCCTATGAGTGGGCCGTGAGAGCGAGTGTGGATGCGTGGGAGGATGAACGGAGAGGTGGTGCGGCGATGCCGATGAGGTTGCTGCAGTGGCTGCTGCTGCTGCTGCTGCTGCTGCTGCTGTGGCTGCTGCTGGTGCTGCTGCTGCACCTCCTGCTGCGGCTGCTGTTGCTGCACTGCCTGCGGTTGCTGCTGCTGCTGCTGCTGCTGCTCCATCCGCTGCTGCACCTCCTGCTGCTGCTGCTGCTGCTGCTGCTGCTGCTGCTGCTGCTGCTCCATCCGCTGCTGCTGCTGCACCTGCTGCTTCTGCTGTTGCTGCTGCTGCTGCTGCTCCTTCTGCTGCTGCTGCTGCTGCTGCTGCTGCTGCTGCTGCTGCTGCTGCTGCTGCTGCTGCTGCTGCTGCTGCTGCTGCTGCTGCTGCTGCTGCTGCTGCTGCTGCTGCTGCTGCTGCTGCTGCTGCTGCTGCTGCTGCTGCTGCTGCTGCTGCTGCTGCTGCTGCTGCTGCTGCTGCTGCCGCTGCTGCTGCTGCTGCTGCTGCTGCCGCTGCTGCTGCTGCTGCTGCTGCTGGTGCGATGAGGCAGAGTGAGCAGGGGAGTCAGGGACAGCTGGGTCGTAAATGTCACCTGAGGAAGGAGGAGGGGGAGGAGTAGGATTTGGAGGAAGGAGGGGAGCCTGGGGAAGGAGTGGGGGAATGACAGCATCAGCCCAGGTGAGGGGGCGGGAGAGAGGAGGAAGGGGGTCGGAAGGCGGAACAGAATGATAGAACGGGATGCTCTCATCGAACACCACGTCACGGCTCTGTAGGAGGCGGCCTGAGGACGGGTGAAGGAAGAGGTAACCAGGGGCAGAGCGAGCGTGGCCAAGGTAGACACACTTAATGGCCTTGGAGGCGAGCTTTCCTGCCTGCCGAGAGCGGTCAGGTGGGGGGATGAGGACATATGCCTTGCAACCCCAGATACGGAGAATGGCAGCATCTGGCTTGGTGCTAGCCCAGAGCTCAGTGGGAGTGACAGACTGGCGTTGAGGATGTGGGTAAAGATTAGTAAGGAGAGCAGCATGGACAAGGGCATAGCCCCAAAGAGAAGGAGGCGTGGAGGCATGAGTGAGGAGGCAGCGGGCCGTCTTGGTGATCTCACGAATGCGACTCTCAGCAACACCGTTCTGCTGAGGGGAGTGGGGAAGGGTATGAGTCTGCTGGATGCCATGGGTTGAGCAGTAGGAGGAGAGGGTGCGGTTGAGAAACTCACCACCGCCGTCGGAATGGAGGCGGCGGATGGGGCGACCAAAGTGGACTCGGCACTGCTCGGCCCAGGTAACGATGACAGCAGGGGCCTCGGCCTTCGTGTGGAGGAGGAACACCGAGGAGTACCTGCTGTGGTCGTCGACTAGGACAAGCAGGTACCGGTGCCCTTGGCGGGATGGGGAAGGGTTAGGGCCCCAGAGGTCCATGTGGACGAGGTCAAGGGGGGCAGCAGCAAAGGAAGGATGACTGAGGTGAGGCTGTTGTTTGAGCTTTCCATGAATGCATGTGGCGCATGGGGGAGCGGAAGAGGACGGGAGGGGAGGAAGAGTGGGGGGAAGACCGTCAAGCAAGCGGGAGGAGATGGCTTTATGAAGTGTGGGAAAGTTCATATGACCAAGGCGGTGGTGGATGAGAACAGCGGGGTGGGACAGTGCGCGACAAGAGCATGGGGAGGAGGTGGAGTTGGAGGAAGGTGGCTCTAGAGGGAGGGGAGGGGGGAGAGTGGAGGTGCCTGCACGAGTGGTCACGTGGCATGAGGAGGGGCGGGGTGTGCGGAGGATGTACTGACGAGAGCGAGGGCAAAGTGGGAGGCGATGAAGGAGGCGGCGAGTGGGGCCGTGGAGGAGGTCACAGTAGGTGGCAGAGGCGGGGAAGAGGGTAGTGATGCCAGCCTGTTGGAGTTCACGAATAGAGAGCAGGTTATGACGAAGGGAGGGAATGTGGAGACCAGTGACCACTCCAGAGGGGAAGGGGGGGCAGGGGAGGGTGGAGAGATGAGTGCAAGGGATGGAGAAGCTGGAATCAGCACCATGAACGTTGGTGGGGAAAGGGAGGGAGGTGAGGGTGCCGGCGTCTTTGAGGGCAGTTTCAGTGGCACCACTATCGAGAACAAAGTCAATCGTGAGCGAGGAGGGAGCTGAAGACACGGGGTACTGGAAATCACTGGCATTAAAAACAGAGGGATACATGGAAGTGGAAGCAGGGGAAGAACGCATGAGCTCGCCTAGAAAGCTAGAGTGGGAGGCGGGAGCACTAGGGGAAGGAGAGCCCCAGAGGGGAAAGCCAGGAGGACCTGGTGTGGCTATGGCAGCCATGGCGGCGGTGCCAAAGCCAAGCTGCTGCTGCTGCCATGCAGATGCTGCGGCTGCGGCTCCTGCAGCTGCGGCTGCGGCTCCTGCAGCTGCGGCTGCAGCCTGACCACCAGAGCCCCACTGCTGCTGCTGCTGCAGCAGCTGCAGCTGCTGGAAGCGGCGAAACTGCTGCAGCTTCTGGGGAGTTATGGGGTCAGCGACAGAGGAGGAGGAGGAGGAGAGCTGATGATGAGAGGGGAGGAAAGACGGAAGAGTTTTGACATCCTGGAGAGAGGGGCGGGGATCCATGGCAGACCAGCGTGGGGGGGTGCCAGTGTTGCCGCGCTCGAACCAGGCATCATCATACGCCTTGAAGCAGGTTGCGGGGGGATGGTTGGTTTGGGTGCAGCGCTCACCCGCCCTGGGACCAAAACGGCGAAGATAGGAACATGGGGGAAGAGTGCCAGGGCGGCCACCACGGCTACCAGATGAGCCACCACTGCCTCCACCACCACCACTGCTGCCACCCTCGACCCCGCCACCACCGCCGCTGGCTCCGCTGCCCCCACAACCGCCACCTCCACCCCCTCCCTGAGGGTTGGTGCGGCCGCCACGTGGGCGCCCGCCACGACGCGGCTGTGTGACTGCAAGCTGGGGGTTTTGGGACGCGGTGGAGTTCAGGCCGGAGGGGGGGGTTGAGAGAAGGCGGGCCTCAGCGTCAATGATCCATTGGACCACAGTGTCAAGGGAGGCGCGGGGCTGAGCCTCAGTGAAGGCGATGACGCGCACTTCATATTGAGGGGAGAGGCCTTCGAGGAGACGGTAGATCTGAAGGTTGGGGGGGAGAGTAGTCTGGCGAGCCTCAAGGCGGGAGGCAAGGTCCAGGAGACGGCTGGTGTAGTCAACGGCGCCAGCACTATGTTCGATCGTGATGCTGAAGTATTCCTTGAAGAGCGGTCCGACAGCATCGAAGTCGGTGCGTTCGAACATTGCCTCAAGCTCGAGCCAGATCTGGCGGGAGCCGATGCGACGTGCCTGGAAGTTGCGCATGAGCGCAGACGGGATGGCAAGGAGAAGGGCACCAGTAGCACGGCTGTCCGCCTCGAGCCAGGCGCGACGACGCTCAGCAAATCGCGCAGAGTCAGCGGCATAAGCGGCGGCGGTAGCGGCATGCTGGGTGCGGAGGGTTGCCGACCGCTCGTGTTCCTCCAACGCGATCAGGTAATCAGTATGGAGCACGAGGAACTCACGATGCTGAGTAAGGAAGAGCTGCTCAACTTCAGCGGTGGCAGCGCGAGTGCTGGTGTCGCCGGGATGGGGAATGAGAGGGGGGGGATCGCCAGGGTGAGGCGGCGGGTCCCCAAGGTCTCCCTCTGGGAGACCAAGCATGATGTCCAGGAGGCGGAACGGCAGGACATAAGCACTGCCGAGGACGCGGTGGAGGCTGCCGACGAAGGAATACCAGTTGGTTGCTGAGTTGTCGGCAGCGCGCACGAGATGATCGAGGGTCGAGACGTCGACGGGAGGGGGAAAGGATGACATTGGTGACACGGAGTGGGAGGAAGGCGACGGCGGGTGGACCCGCGGTGGCCGGGAGGGAGCGGCGGCGGGTGGACCCGCGGCGGCTCAAAGAGGAGGGGAGGATGGGGATGGCTGTAGATACTGCTGCTGCTGCTGCTGCTCCTTCTGCTGCTGCTGCTGTTGCTGTTGCTGCTGCTGCCGCTGCTGCTGCTGCCACTGCTGCTGCTGCCGCTGTTGCTGCTGCTGCTGCTGCTGCTGCTGCTGCTGCTGCTACTCCTTCAGCTGCTGCTGCTGCTGCTGCTGCTGCTGCTGCTGCTGCTGCTGCTGCTGCTGCTGAGTCTGCTGCTCCTTCTGGTGCTGCTGCTGCTTCTGCTGCTGCTGCTACGGCTGCAGCAGTGGTAAGGCGGCGATGAGCAGGTGCAGGTGAGGAGGCAAAAGATGGGGAAAGATGGCAGTTAGCTGATGAAAATAGGACTTGGTAGAAATTTCAGTAGCACTTCGTGATCACATCCAGGAAAGTGTGCAAACTTCGGAAAGCGATATCTAACAATCCAAGCGATGAAACAGTCCGAAATTTTACGACGTTGTAGCTGACACCAAGAGCGTTCTTTTGCAAGTCGAATCACTCAATTCTGTCAACTATCGAGCGAGCTATGGCGTTTGGCGCATTGGGGGTTTTTGAAAATCCACCCAACAGAAAACTAGTTGAGAGGCGGCGGCTAGGAGTCTAGCAGCGGCGATGGAGGGGACGGCAATGAGGTGCACGTCGGAAGGGGACGGGGCGGAAGCGTGGGGAAGGATCGGGATTTAAAAGTTGGCGTGAGCCATTATTGCTCTATACCATGTTAGAAACAGAAAGGTTCAGTTTATTGATGAAGGAAAGGCATTACATAGGAAGAGAGAGATGAGCTAGGAAGGGAAGGTTGGAAGGGAAGGGGGGGTTAGGACCAATCACAAGGGAGGGAGGCTCCTTCCAAATGTGGTTGACCACCAGTTGGAGGTGGTCCAAGTGTGGTGTACCACCAGTGGTTTAGCCAACCCACTTGTGGTGCCCCCACAATTGTGGTCCTTGTGTTTGGGGGCTCCAACCACAATTGGGTTGGATTGACACCCCAACACAGGTGTACACCCAACTAGGGATGTAAACACAATATACACAACTAGCATAGCATGGTATATTCTAACAACCATCCTATGGCCTCCATGCGCTCGCTCTTGGCACGCCCTCTGGCAGCAGGAGGCAGCCGTCACGACTTCCCTCTGGCTGTCAGCACCTGCATCTCCTCCTCCCCTTCCTGCGCCCCACTGGACAAGCCAGGCGCGACCACCCTCCCCCAGAACCAGTGGTGGCACCACAGTGCTGCCATGGCCTCGAGGGGCACGCCCCTGGTCTCGGGCAGCAGGAGGTGCGTGGCGAGGGTCATTGCTGCCACCCACACCGCGAAGAAGAGGAAAATGACGTACCTGCGTGGAGAGGGAGGCGAGGAGGAGCAGGCGGATTGAGGGAATGGCAGCCATGGAGGGAGGTGGCGAGACTAGGCTCTTGGTGGGCGTGGCTCATGCAACATGTTATTTTCCCTGTAACACATGCAACAACATGCCATCTTCCCTGTAGCACATGCAGCAGCTGTCCAAAGGCTCACCTAAGCAGGCAGAGCAGCGAGAGGAAGCTCTGGCCCACAATGGCCATGAAGAGAAAGTTCACCGCCACTGAGATCGACTGGCCGGTAGACCTTGTCTCTAGCGGCTGAAGCTCAGACGGTACCAGCCAGCCAAGAGGGCCCCAGGACCAGCCGAAACCAGCGACGTACACTGACGGAAAGAATTGTCCACATGTTTGGCAATTTTTTGAATTTCCACCGTTAAAGGGCATTTGAACATTAAGCCTTAATTGGAGGCATTACCCACTATATGCAGGCCAATCTAGGGAGACATAAAAATGCTACACATTTGATGAAACTACTATCGTTAACAGTAAACAGCAAACATAACCAAACACGGTGCATGTGGACAATTATTTCCAGGCGGAAGCAGCAACTTGAAAAACCCTTAAACTAGTACCTGGTCCACCGCCCTTTAGCCCTAATCACTGCTTTCACCCTCCTGGGCATGCTGTCGATCAAATTGGAGCACACCTCTGATGGGATCTTCTCCCACTCCTCTTGTACACGCTCCCACAGGTCCACCATACCAGTGGGAGGTGTCTCATGCTTTCCCAGCTCCCTTTTAAGATGAGCCCACAGATGCTCAATGGGGTTCAGATCAGGACTTCCTGCCGGCCACTCCAGGACCCCATACTCCTGCTCCTGAAGCCACTGCTGCACCACACGGGACTTATGCTTGGGGTCGTTATCATGCTGGAAGATCACAGCCGAGGGGGTTAGCTTGTAAAAGTCGATGGTTTTTTTCAGCTCGTCTTGCAAAATGCTCAGATACAGCGGCCCGTCCATCCGACCATCGATTTTGCACATGAAACCCGCCCCCTCAAACGTCATACATCCCTAGATCATCAAGCCGCCGCCCCCGTATTTGACGGTTTGCTTGATCTGGTGGTGTTGGAGAGTCGTACCTTCACGAACCCAGGCGTACGCGTGGCCGTCAAAGCCGAACCTACTAATCCTCGTCTCATCCGACCATATGACCCGTCGCCAATCATCTATGGTCCAATCCGCGTGGGCCCGTGCGAACGCCAGCCTATCGCGGATATTTTTCTTGGAGAGTCGCGGCTTCTTAGGCTGCTGAACTGCGATAAGGCCGCTGGATTTGAGCGCATTACGCACCGTCCTAGGATGCACCGTGATGCCGTGCTGGGATTCGACGATTTGGGCCGCATGCCTCGAGGTTTTCGCCTCGCCGCTAGTGATCGCCCTGACGATCCCACGACGAATTCTACTCGACAGTACGCGTGGACGACCAGCAGTGGGCATTGTAGGACGTACGTCCTCGGGACTAGTCTCTGAAATCGCCTTGAGCCCGACATCATGTACTGTACTTTTCCCAACGCCAACCTGTTTCGCGATTTGCCTCGTGCTGAACCCCCTACGCAACAGGGCCACGATCCGGGCGCGACGAGCCTCATCTATCGGTCTCATCTTGGCGTAGTCTACGCCTCGGGTATAAACTCTATTCTGACTACTCGACGATTGCGTTAGGAACTATGGAGAGAATGCGCTAGTCGAAAACGGATCTAGTCCGCTGCTTGGCCAAAACTGTCCGGATGCACTCACGCGACTGGAATCTTGTCCACGCTATTAGTGCGACCCATTCAGGTTGCAAACGTGTTACCCTATTGTAACTGGCACGCGTAACTTATTAGTCAGCAATGAACATTCAACGATACATCGGGTGAAGGCATTCAAATCATGTGTTGAACCTAAAATTGGACTTTATCCGGGCAATACTTTCCGTCGCTGTAAATGCAGATGGCTATAACGAGTATGGAGTTGAGGAGAGAGGGGGACACGTAGGAAGAGGAGGAAGAGATGGAGGAAGGTGGATGCAGGGATGTGGAGGGGGCCTGGGACGCGAGGCCGATGGCGATGACGACCTGGTGGGAGGGAGGCAGGGGAGAATAGGAGGCGAATGCAACAATGGGTGAATGGAAGGCAGTGAGGGCGGCACATGGTTCAAAGGCGAGAAAGAGAAGCTGGAGGCCATAATGTGGCCCTTTACAGCTGGGATGCGATTGCTTCTCTGTGCATGTGATTGCACATGTGTGCATGAGCATGCACGTGTCTGTCCATATGTGCATGTGTGAACCATGCATCTAAAATCTCTCCTCCCCCCAACCTGCGCCAGCAGCATCTGCCCGCCCCCTGCCATGAGCAGCGCCCGGTGCCCAAACCGATCAACGCATGCCACAGCCACGAGTGTGGCCGCCACGTTGACAGCCCCGGTGACCACAGCCGCCAGCAGCGTGGCGTTGGAGGCGAAGCCCAGAGAGGCGAGGAGCGGCGTGACGTAGAACATGATGGCGTTGATGCCAGTGAGCTGCTGGCATACCAGCATGCTGGCATCATGTGCATGGTCATGGGAGCCAGGGGGTGGGACGTGAGTAGAGGGATGAGTGCTGTGGTTCACTCGGCAAACATAATGGGCCACATGATGGCCAGCGCGGGTGCTTGCCATGGCGGATGGCACAAGGGGATGCAGCCGCACACATGCAATGCGCTTTGCGCTACTAGAAAAGCAGATCGTATGCATGTATGCCACTTACAGAACGAGATGGGATGGGATGGGAATGGAAACGGAGCTTAAACGCTCATTTGGATGGCTTACAGAATGGCCCAGACAAGCTCAGGTCGGTACTTGCGGTGGAGAATGGTGCGGAAGGGTGCAGCGCATGCCTTAGCCCTCAGCACGGCTGCCCAAATTGCATCATACTCTGGCTGGCGGTGGACCGTAGGGAACAGCCATGGGGCGATGGCAAACAGGCATGGGGCGATGGGGAATAGCCATGGGGCGATGGGGAACAGCCATGGGGCGATGGGGAAGAGGCATGGGCTGTAAGAAATAGAGTTGAAATGATTGATTAGGTAAGAAGCCCAAGGCTCTATAAGTGCATGGCAAGGTAAGAGAGAATGGATGAAGGGGGAATCGGAGGGAATCCCCATTGGAATCTCCGGAATCTCCAATTGGGTAATTGGAGATTGTGGGGATCACAATTGGGTGAGGTTGGGATTTGTGAGTACACCCCAACCCACTAGAACATTCACAACCTAAACTAGGATATAAAAGTACAAATACAAAAGTGGTATTTGCAGTCTATTTCTAACACACCCCCATAGACTGCAAACCCGATCAAGGAGCACATAGCCCCATGGAACGGAGAAGGCGATGGTGGTCAGCCTTGCCAAGAGCCTTGGAAAAGAGGTCGGCAAGGTTGCAATCTGAGGTGATGTACCATACCGTAAGCTGGTCACTCTGAACAAGATCTCGGATGAAGAAATGACGAAGTTCGATGTGCTTGGTGCGAGAGTGGAACACAGGATCCTTGGTGAGATGAATGGCACTCTGGTTGTCACACTACAGTGTGGGCGACTGCTGGGGGTAGCCTAACTCAGC